TTAACATCCACCTCATTTTGGGAAATCCTGAAACCGCAGGAAACTGTAAGCCCAAATGACATGTGTGACACATTATTTGAAAGATAAAACCTTCTAGTTTCTGAATATATACATTAAAATTAGGTGAGTCAAACACAGTCTAAGCTGCATCAGTTCAAACATGACTCAAAGTTGCTTTTTTATTCTTGAAAATAATAGATCTATTTTGCTTTGTTTAAATTCTGACAAGCTGCTATATCTGTGTTAATTGTGCTTTTCCTGCCCACTGTGTCCATAAAATGAACTTGGTGGTTGAATCGTGGAGAATCTAAGCTTTCCAAAGATGTCTAACATCTATATTGGTGAACATTTTACAGCTGGAATTTTCATGCATTCTGAGTTATTATTCGTAAACCCTTTAAAACGGTTCGCAGGCGGTTTGGAGAGGATAACAATAAATCAGTAAAATAAATAAGACTATTTTACTAATAGGGGCGTAAATCACACCCATCATGGCGATTTTATTCAGTATCAATTTCCTGACCCATGATTAGAATCCACCACGATACGATTCAATTAATTGGTTAATTTTATTTCTTTTTACCTTCCAGGCTAGAAAATGTTTCAAATTTGAAATAAATCAATAAAAGCTGTAATATCGTTACACAAATAACAAAAGTAGCAAAGTTGTCCTCAACCTAGGCCTATCAAAACCTCATTCACTGAAAAATAATAATACTGTTATAGATTCGGAAAGGCCTTAGATGGAAAAATACTGCAAGCGGAAAGAGGATAGTGGCTAAAGGAAGCGAGGTAGGAGGGCGAAATAGGTTTAGCGCCACCGCAGCACGGGAGGAGAATTACGTCCAGAAGCAAAGACCGGAGGGAAAAAAGAACAGGAATCGATTCGCTTGCAGACATGTTGATGCATCCGATTGTCAGCTGGCGGATCGATGCATCGATACAAAACAATTATTATTTACTAGTTAGTTACTAGTTTGAAATTACAATTTTATTTACAGAAATTGATTACGTCCGAACATTTCCAGCACACCACCTTTTCACATTTATGACAAAGGTCATACCAGCGGTTTTTCTTTGCCTCGCTAAAGCTGCTCTACCGCGGGGGAGGAGCTGGTAACCTGCGGAGCGCATCAGGTCGCCATGCATCCGTTTCACCAGTTCAAGGATAAAATCTTCGCGTGAGAAGGTGATGTTCCAACAACTCATGAACAAAACCAACGTGTTTATAGCTGCTTTGTCCAGAAGATCGTTAAATACAGCAACAGGTCACCTTTACATTGGAGCTAGAATGCTTTCATCATCTGATCCACGCCGGCCTGTGTGGGATTATAGCAGCCAACTGGCTCCGGTTTGTCTTTTGGGCAACTGAGTGAACCTGTTAGAAGGTTCTATCAAAACGTGAACAAGACGTCTGATTGGTCACTGATCCGATCATCCTCAGACCCAATCTGAGCCGCTCCTAACCCAGTCGTCCTCATCGGTCTCTCCATCTCCGCCTGAATCGCTACCATCATTATGTTGAAGCATTTCTAAAGTTTCATGGTCACATTTCTTCTGAAAGCCGTTTTTCCATGTTAGCCAAAGTGTTTAGGTAGAATGTTGGTTGCTAGGCAACGGTGCCAAACATAAATCAACCGTGGGTAGAATAGAGCCGTCAAAATGGCGGCTGTGGGAGATGGAGGTAAAATTGAACCATATCGGGCGCGCTGCGGTGGCGCAGTGGTT